TGTGGAACTCACTCCCCGGGGAGATCAGATCGACGACTTCCCTTCTAGCGTTTAGGAAAAAACTAAAGACCTGGATGTGGGACCAAGCTTTTGGCCATGCTGACAACTAACTAAAGGACCTGTCGATAGACAAGGACAATGGAATGGAATGGATATATGGACTCTGATATATGGACTCTGACATGAGATAGTTTCTATGATTTTATTAGGTATTGATGTTTTATTTTAATTGTTGAATTGTTATATTTTGTATTGTTTGTTGTGTGTTTTGGGCATCTAATTGTGCCTTTCCTGTAAGCCGCCCTGAGTCCCCCTCGGGGTGAGAAGGGCGGGGTATAAGTAGATGAAATAAATAAATAAATAAATAAATATTTTTATTATTATTGATGTTTTTGTTATTATTTTGTAATGCCCCTTGGGGACTCTTCCAATTAGGAGTCTATGATTGTATTATTAATAATAATAATAATAATAATATTTATTGGTGGCCCTTGGGGCCCCTTCCAAATGTATGTTTCCATGAGTATTCTATTATTATTACTATTTATTTATTTAAGCTTTTTTAAATTGATAAATCAAACCATGCAATTCACCATTCTGGACACAAGGTGGCAGTAAAGAGTGTATAACAAATGCATATCCACTAATTTGAAGACCACTGTGAAGTTATTGTATGAATTCCAATGGAGTTTTCACTGGGACCAATCGTCTCTTTTTCTTTCTAATTATTACAAGGAAATCGTCACTGTTCTTAAATTTATATTAATACCCAGCTATTTTTCTCAGGACTGAGATTATTATGATGTTGCTGATTTATACCCCAGTTTTTCCCTCCACCACGAGACTCAAAATAATATTAGTGATAGTAATAATAGGTCTTTGAAGCGGGATTCCTTACGCAATTTCCATGTTGAGCAGCTCCAGGAAGGCCGTGAAGGTCCCCATTTGGTACAAAAGGAAGTTGTTGCGCCGCGTCCAGTCCAGGACCTCCGCCTCCGAGTCACAGTCGCCAAAGACCCCTGGAAAGGGAGGAAAAGCCGGGAATTAATTAGATCGCATTCTTAAAAACATGGGAAAAAGGGTCCCAGTTCAGGAGGAAAGCAGGGCATCAATGAGTGGAAGGAAGGGAAGGGAAGGGAGGAAGGGAAAAAGGAAGGAAGGAGGAAAGAAGGGGGGAAATTAAGGAAAGAAAGAAGGAAAAGGGAAAGGAAAGACAAAAGGAAGGAAGGGAAAAGAAAAAAGGAAGGAAGGAATAAAAAGGAAAGAATGATGGAAGGAAGGGAAAAGGAAGGAAAGGAAGGAAGGAAAGAAGGAAGGAAGGAAGAAGGGGAACATTAAGGAAGGAAGAAAAGAAGGAAAAGGGATGACAAAAGGAGGGAGGGAAAAGAAAAAAGGAACAAAAAGGAAGGAATGATGGAAGGAAAGAAAAAGGAAGGGAAAAGGAAGGAAAGCAAGAAGGAAGGAAGGAAGGAAAGAAGGGGGGAAATTAAGGAAGGAAAGAGAATGAAAAGGGAAAGGAATGACAAAAGGGAGGAAGGGAAAAAGAAAAAAAGGAAGGAACAAAAAGGAAGGAATGATGGAAGGAAGGGAAAAGGAAGAAAAGGAAGGAAGGAAGAAGGGGAACATTAAGGAAGGAAAGAAAGAAGGAAAAGGAATGACAAAAGGAGGAAGGGAAAAGAAAAAAGGAAGGAACAAAAAGGAAGGAATGATGGAAGGAAAGAAAGAAAAAGGAAGGAAAGAGAAGGAGGAAGGAAGGAAGAAGGAAGGAAGGAAGGGAGGGAGGAAGGAAGGAAGGAGGGGAAAAATTAAGGAAGGAAAGAAAGAATGAAAAGGGAAAGGGATGACAAAAGGGAGGAAGGGAAAAAGAAAAAAAAGGAAAGAAGGAACAAAAAGGAAAGAATGATGGAAGGAAAGAAAAAGGAAGGAAGGGAAAAGGAAGGGAAGGAAAAGGAATGAAAGGGAAGGAAGGGAAAAAGAAGGAAGGAGGAAGGAAGGAAGGAAGGAAGGAGGAGAAGAAGGAAGGAAGGAAGGGAAGAAGAAAAAGAAAAAAGGAACAAAAAAGGAAGGGATGATGGAAGGAAGGGAAAAGGAAGGGAAAGGGAAGGAAAGAAGATAGTGGAAAAGGAAGGAAGGAAGGAAGGAATGAGGAAAGAAGGGGAAAATTAAGGAAGAGAAAGGAAAGAAAGAAGGAAAAGGGAATGGATTGGCAAAAGGGAGGAAGGGAAAAGAAAAAAGGAAGGAGTAAAAAAGGAAGGAATGATGGAAGGAAGGAAAAAGGAAGGAAGGAAACAAGGAAGGAAAAAGAAAAGAGAAGGAAAAGGAAGGGAAGAAGAAAAGAAAGAAGGAAAAAGGAATGGAGAAAAGAAGGGGAAAAGGAAAGAAGAAAGGAATGAAGGAAGGAAGGAGGAAGAAAAAAAGGATGGCGGGAGGGCGGGAGGAAAGAAGGAAGAAAAGAGGAAGGAAAGAAGGAATAAAAAAGAAGAAAAGAAGGAAAAATTAAGTAAGGAAAAAGGAAGGAAAGATGGAAGAAAGAAAAAAAGAAAAGGAGCCGGGATTTCCTCTCTCTCCTCTCCTCCTATGTCCTTCTTAAGACTGAAACTTCTCAGGGACACATGCCAAGCCCCCAAGCGCACCATATTTGTTCTCCTCCTGTGAGCATGGAGAGAGACAAGATGCCTGCTGCAAGTTAGCGAATGAGAGAGATAGATAACTAGGCCCTGAGTTGACTTTCCTACCTAGTGAGTCTTTTACAACTGCTTCAAAGCATTGGCTCCGCTCCTGGAGTGCTTGGCACTCAATGGCTCTGCTGCTGGTCCTAGATGCTCCCGCTTTGGTTTTGCCCTTTGGGATTCCCCATACATTCCCGCGTACCTTGTGCCAGGTAGAGGATGGCCCGGGCCCCCTTGAGCCGCTTCTCCCGGCTGACCACCTCCAGGCCGTCCAGGAGGCGCATCACGTAGGCTTTCTGTCGGGACACGTCCAGCTCTGGCCAGCGCTTGTCCTTCACTGCAGCGGAAAGGGAAGGGCGCACCATGCAACTGGATCTCTCCAAGACAGCATTCCAATTGGCCCTCAGCAAACTACAACTCCCAATATTCTTATTATAATGTTCATTAATAAAATAATAATAACAGCATTGTATTGTCGAAGGCTTTCATGGGTGGAATCACTAGGTTCTTGTGGGTTTTTTCGGGCTATAGATCCATGTTCTAGAGGCATTTCTCCTGACGTTTCGCTGCACAGTTACAAAGCCATATTGGGCTCACTACACACTACATCAAGGACTCAGCCCACTTCATAGAAAAAATCAGCAATCTCAAGCTAAATACAAACGACAAACTGATCAGCTTCGATGTGGTATCTCTATTTACCATGGTCCCGGTAGCAGACACCATGGCACTCATCAACCAGAGGTTCCCAGAAGACATCACGGCTCTGTTTCACCATTGCCTCACCACCAGTTACTTTCAGTGGGACAATAAATTCTACGAACAGAAAGATGGAGTAGCTATGGGGAGCCCTCTCAGCCCAGTCATAGCTAACTTCTACATGGAACACTTTGAAGAACAAGCCCTGGAAACAGCAACCAAAAAGCCCACTATATGGTTCAGATATGTGGATGACACTTTCACCATTTGGAGCCATGGAGAAGAAGAACTCAACAGGTTCCTGGACCATCTTAACAGCATCCACCCAAACATCCAGTTCACCATGGAAAAAGAAAATGAAGGAAGACTGCCTTTTCTAGATGTCCTAGTTATCCGCAAACCAGATCAACAATTGGGTCACACCGTCTACAGAAAACCCACACACACAGATAGATATCTACATAAAAACTCCAACCATCACCCAAGTCAAAAAAGAAGCACCATTAAAGCCTTGGCAGACCGTGCAAAAAGAATCTGCGAAGCCCACCTCCTCCAAGATGAACTGAACCACCTCAACTGGGCTCTCCAGGCCAATGGATACTCCACCTCAGACATCAGAAGAGCTGCAAGACCAAGAACAAGCCACGAGAGTAAAGATGAAGATCCACCCAGAGGAAAAGTGTTCCTGCCATACATCAAGGGAACCACTGACCGCATAGGGAAGCTGATGAGGAAACACAACATACAAACAATCTACAAACCCACCAAGAAAATCCAACAAATGCTACGTTCAGCAAAGGACAAGAGGGATCCTCTCTCCTCTGCAGGAGTCTACCGTATACCATGCAGCTGTGGACAAGTCTACATAGGGACCACCAAACGCAGCGCACAGACCAAACAAGAATCAAGGAACATGAAAGGCACTGCAGACTACTCCAACCAGAGAAGTCAGCCATAGCAGAGCACCTGATGAACCAACCTGGACACAGCATATTATTTGAGAACACAGAAATGCTGGACCACTCTCACAACCACCATGTCAGACTACACAGAGAAGCCATTGAAATCCACAAGCATGTGGACAATTTCAACAGAAAGGAGGAAACCATGAAAATGAACAAAATCTGGCTACCAGTATTAAACAACTCTAAAATTACAACAGCAAAACAACAGGGGAAAAACCAGGCACAGATTAACACCTCCCAGCAACAGATTTTCCCAGACTCAGGCAGGCCTTCAAATGCTAATGAAGGTGATCAGCTAAACATTCACACCTAACTGCAGCAGGGAAGAGCTCCTTGCCCCACCCCAGCCATTCCACAGATATATAAGCCCATTTTTCCTACTTCCAACAGACCTTCTCAACCTCTGAGGATGCTTGCCATAGATGCAGGCGAAACGTCAGGAGAAATGCCTCTAGAACATGGCTCTATAGCCCGAAAAAACCCACAAGAACCATAATAATAATAATAATAATAATAATAATAATTATTATTATTATTATTATTATTATTATTATTTATATCCCATCCTCTGGAAGGCTGGTGTGCAATACTTCCAAGTAGCTAATGAATATTTCTCCCCCCATTGGACCGTGCAACTGGATCTTGCCAAGAGAGCATTCCAATCGGCCCTTAGCAAACTACAAATCCCAATAGTCTTATAATGATCACTTAAATAATAATAATAATAATATCCCATCCTCTGGAAGGCTAGTGTGCAATACTTCCAAGTAGCCAATGCATATCTCCCTCCACTGGACCGTGCAACTGGATCTTGCCAAGAGAGCATTCCAATCGGCCCTTAGCAAACTACAAATCCCAATAGTATTATAATATTCACTTAATTATTATTATTATTATTATTATTTATATCCCATCTTCTGGAAGGCTGGTGTGCAATACTTCTAAGTAGCCAATACGTATCTCCCTCCATTGGACAGTGCAACTAGATCTCTCCAAGAAAACATTCCGATTGACCCTTAGCAAACTACAAATCCCAATAGTATTATAATGTTCACTTAATAGTAATAATAATAATATTTATATCTCATCCTCTGGAAGGTTGGTGTGCAATATTTCCAAGTAGCCAATGCATATCTCCCTCCACTGGACCGTGCAACTGGATCTCTCCAAGAGAACATTCCGATTGACCCTTAGCAAACTACAAATCCCAATAGTATTATAATGTTCACTTAATTAATTAATTAATTAATTAAAATAATATCCCATCCTCTGGAAGGCTGGTGTGCAATACTTCCAAGTAGCCAATGCATATCTTCCTCCATTGGACCGTGCAACTGAATCTCTCCAAGACAGCATTCCATTTGGCCCTTAGCAAACTACAAATCCCAATAGTCTTATTATAATGTCCACTTAATTTATTATTATTATTATTATTATTATTATTATTATTTATATCCCATCCTCTGGAAGGCTGGTGTGCAATACTTCCAAGTAGCTAATTAATATATCTCCCTCCATTGGACAGTGCAACTACATCTCTCCAAGACAGCATTCCAATCGGCCCTTAGCAAACTATAAATTCCAATAGTATCATTATAATATTCATTTGAATATTAATAATAAATATTATATCCCACTTTTCTCCCCAAGCGGGACCCAAAGCGGCCCACAACATTTTAAAACAACACAAATCAACCATATGTAAACAGTAAACAATAAAACCAACCTTACAATAAAACATAAACAAACATTTTATACTCATTTAACAAATACCAGGTAACATTAGGGGAGGAACTCGTCAGTTCAGATGGTAACTTTGCTCGACACACTGAAAGTTAGCCTTACATACATAAAATACATAAACATAGCCTTATATACATAAAACATTATATGTGATAGTAGCCGTCCCCTGCCACGCGTTGCTGTAGTCCACATGGGGGTTCTGTGTGGGAGGTTTGGCCCAATTCTATGATTGGTGGGGTTCAGAATGCTCTTTGATTGGAGGTGAACTACAAATCCCAGCAACTACAACTCCCAAATGTCAAGATTCTATTTCCCCCAAACTCCACCAGTGTTCACATTTGGGCATATTGAGTATTCTTGTAGAGTTTGGTCCAGATCCATCATTGTTTGAGTCCACAGTGATCTCTGGATGTAGGTGAACTACAACTCCAAAACCAAAGGACACTGCCCACCAAACCCTTCCAGTATTTTCTGTTGGTCATGGGAGAACTGTGTGCCAAGTTTGGTTCAATTCCATCGTTGGTGGGGTTCAGAATGCTCTTTGATTGTAGCTGAACTATAAATCCCAGCAACTTCAACTCCCAAATGTCAAGATTCTATTTTCCCCAAACTCCACCAGTGTTCACATTTGGGCATATTGAGTATTTGTGCCAAGTTTGGTCCAGATCCATCATTGTTTGAGTCCACAGTGATCTCTGGATGTAGGTGAACTACAACTCCAAAACCAAAGGACACTGCCCACCAAACCCTTCCAGTATTTTCTGTTGTTCATGGGAGAACTGTGTGCCAAGTTTGGTTCAATTCCATCGTTGGTGGGGTTCAGAATGCTCTTTGATTGTAGGTGAACTATAAATCCCAGCAACTACAACTCCCAAATGTCAAGGTTTATTTTCCCCAAACTCCACCAGTGTTCACATTTGGGCATATTGAGTATTTGTGCCAAGTTTGGTCCAGATCCCATTGTTTGAGTCCACAGTGATCTCTGGATGTAGGTGAACTACAACTCCAAAACTAAAGGACACTGCCCACCAAACGCTTCCAGTATTTTCTGTTGTTCATGGGGGTTCTGTGTGGGAAATTTGCCCCAATTCTATCGTTTGTGGGGTTCAGAACGCTCTGTGATTGTAGGTGCACTATAAATCCCAGCAACTACAATTCCCAAATGACAAAATCAATTTTTTTTGAGTGAAGGACATACATTGGGTTGTTAGGTGTCTTGTGTCCAAGTTTGATGTCAATTCGTGCAATGGTTTTTGAGTTCTGTTAACCCCACAAACGAACATGACATTTTTATTTCTATAGATAATAGCCATTTACATCCCATTGTTCATAATGCAAAAGGTGGTCACCTTGTGTTTGGAAATCCTCCTCAAAACATTTCCGGTTGAGAGCGAATTCCGGTTCTTCGGTGTAGCTATACAGCTCTGGAAAAGAGGGGAAAATTAAGTTTACAAAAGGATTCCAATACTATAGATCAGTGTTTCTCAGTTGTGTTGACCCACAACCATAACATTATTTTCATTGCTGCTTCCTATTATTTTGCTACTGTTATGAATCATAATGTAAATATCTGACATGCAGGATGTATTTGCATTCACTGGACAATATTTGGCACAAATACCCAAATACACCCAAATGTGAGTACTGGTGGGGTTTGCAGAAGGGATTGATTTTGTCATTTGGGAGTTGTAGTTGCTGGGATTTATAGCTCACCTACAATCAGAGATCATTCTGAACTTCACCTACACCCAGACATCAAACAATGATGGACCTGGATCAAACTTGGCACAAAAACTCAATATGCCCAAATGGGAACACTGGTGGAGGGTGGGGAAAATAAACCTTCGACATTTGGGAGTTATAGTTCACCTGCAATCAAAGATCATTCTGAACTCCACCAAGGATGGAATTGAACCAGTCTTGGCACACAGAACTCCCATGACCAAATGAAAATACTGAAAGGGTTTGGTGGGCATTGACCTTGAGTTTGGGAGTTGTAGTTCACCTACACCCAGACATCAAACAATGATGGATCTGGACCAAACTTGGCACAGAAACTCAATATACTAAAATGTGAACACTGGTGGAGTGTGGGGAAAATAGACCTTGACATTTGGGTATTGTAGTTGCTAGGATTTATAGTTCACCTACGATCAAAGAGCATTCTGAACCCCACCAACGATGGAATTGAACCAGTCTTGGCACACAGAACTCCCATGACCAAATGAAAATACTGAAAGGGTTTGGTGGGCATTGACCTTGAGTTTGGGAGTTGTAGTTCACCTACACCCAGACATCAAACAATGATGGATCTGGACCAAACTTGGCACAGAAACTCAATATACTAAAATGTGAACACTGGTGGAGTGTGGGGAAAATAGACCTTGACATTTGGGTATTGTAGTTGCTAGGATTTATAGTTCACCTACGATCAAAGAGCATTCTGAACCCCACCAACGATGGAATTGAACCAGTCTTGGCACACAGAACTCCCATAACCAACGGAAAATACTGGAAGGGTTTGGTGGGCAACTCCCATACCTTGAAGGGACTTGGGAAAGGTTTGGTTGGCATTGACTTTGAGTTTTGGAGTTGTAGTTCACCTATACCCAGACATCATACCATGATGGATCTGGACCAAACTTGGCACAAATATTCAATATGCCCAAATGTGAACACTGGTGGATTTTGGGGAAAATAGAGGGTTGACATTTGAGAGTTATAGTTACTGGGATGTATAGTTCACCTACAATCAAAGAGCATTCTGAACTCCACCAATGATGGAATTGAACCAATCTTGGCACACAGAACTCCTGTGACTAACAGAAAATACTGGAAGGGTTTGGTGGGCATTGACCTTGAGTTTGGGAGTTGTAGTTCACCTACATCCAGAGAGCACTGTGGACTCAAACAGTGATGGATCTGGACCAAACTTGGCACAAACACTGGTGGAGTCTCTGCTTGTCCTTCTCTTCCTTTTTGGAAACAGATGGTGAATCCTCCTTGGTAATGGAAGTTCTGTGTGCCAAGTTTGGTTCACTTCCATCAATGGTGGAGTTCAAAAGGCTCTTTGATTGTAGGTGAACTATAAATCCCAGCAACTATAACTCTCCAATGACAAAATCAATCCCACCCTCAACCCCACTAGTATTCAAATTTGGGCGTATCTGGTATTTGTGCCAGATCCATAGTTATTTGGGTTCACAGTGCTCTCTGGGGGTAGGTGAACTACATCTCTCCTAAATAACTGTTCATTCATCCCAAATCCTTCAAGTATTTTTTGTTGGTCATGGGAGTTCTGTGTACCAAGTTTGATTCAATTCCATTGTTGGTAGAGTTCAGAATGCTCTTTGATTGTAGGTGAACTATAAATCCCAGCAACTACAACTCCCAAATGTCAAGGTCTATTTTCCCGAGACTCCACCAGTGTTCACACTTGGGCAATATGCGTATTCGTGCCAAGTTTGGTTCACATCCATAATTGCATGAATCCACAGTGCTCCTCTGGATATAGGTGAACTACAACTCCCAGTCTCAAGGTCAATGCCCACCAAACCCTTCCAGTGTTTTCTGTTGGTCGTGGAGGTTCTGTGTGCCAAGTTTGGTTCAATTCCATCATTGGTGGAGTTCAGAATGCTCTTGGATTGTAGGTGAACTCTAAATCCCAAGAACTACAACTCTCAAATGTCAAGGTCTATTTTCCCCAATCTCCACCAGTGTTCACATTTGCGCATATTGAGTATTTGTGCCAAGTTTGGTTCAGATCCACCATTGCGTGAGTCCACAGTGCTCCTCTGGATATAGGTGAACTACAACTCCCAGTCTCAAGGTCAATGCCCACCAAACCCTTCCAGTGTTTTCTGTTGGTTGTGGGAGCTCTGTGTTCCAAGTTTGCTTCAATTGCATCGTTGATGGGAGTTCAGAATGCTCTTTGATTGTAGGTGAACTATAAATCCCAGCAACTACAACTCCCAAATTTCAAGTTCTAAAAGTATATTTTAAAGAGAGAAAATGTGGCTTACAAGTAACGTTATTATCCTCGTTTGTGTGCCCGGGTTATTAAAAAAAATGATTTTTTAATTGTACAAAATGCTCAAAGTTGTGGGCGAACTACAACTCCCATCATGCCAGGTTAAACAACTACTACAACTCCCAGACAAAAGCAATGCACAAATGTCTGCATTCCCAATGAGGAAAATCACTTTTTTTTTTTGCAAAAGCCATACATTTCCCCTAAAGGTAAAAAAGCCTTTCATTCTGACCTAAATAAGTCTCTTTTGCATAGATACGCATATTTCGCCGCATGCAGCAAATAGCATTTCCTTTCCTTGCTCCAAATAAACTCCTACGTTTTTATTAATAGAAAGGGCGGAACGCTTGCCACCAGCTCCTTATTTTGAAATAATGACACACTGGGGTGCGACAGAAATAATAATAATAATAATAATAATAATAATAATAATAATAATAATAGAATCCTAGAATCCAAGAGTTGGAAGAGACCTCCTGGGCCATCCAGTCCAACCCCATTCTGCCAAGAAGCAGGAATATTGCATTCAAATCACCCCTGACAGATGGCCATCCAGCCTCTGTTTAAAAGCTTCCAAAGAAGGAGCCTCCACCACACTCCGGGGCAGAGAGTTCCACTGCTGAACGGCTCTCACAGTCAGGAAGTTCTTCCTCATGTTCAGATGGAATCTCCTCTCTTGTAGTTTGAAGCCATTGTTCCCTTGCGTCCTAGTCTCCAAGGAAGCAGAAAGGAAGCTTGCTCCCTCCTCCCTGTGGCTTCCTCTCACATATTTATACATGGCTATCATCATATCTCCTCTCAGCCTTCTCTTCTTCAGGCTAAACATAACCAGCTCCTTAAGCCGCTCCTCATAGGGCTTGTTCTCCAGACCCCTGATCTGCTCCCTCCTCCCTTCCTCTCACATATTTATACATGGCTATCATATCTCCTCTCAGCCTTCTCTTCTTCAGGCTAAACATGCCCAGCTCCTTAAGCCGCTCCTCATAGGGCTTGTTCTCCAGACCCTTGATCATTTTAGTCCCCATCCTCTGGACACATTCCAGCTTGTCAATATCTCTCTTGAATTGTGGTGCCCAGAATTGGACACAATATTCCAGATGTGGTCTACCAAAGCGGAATAGAGCATGGGGAGCATGACTTCCCTAGATCTAGACACTATGCTCCTCTTGATGCAGGCCAAAATCCCATTGGCTTTTTTTGCCGCCACATCACATTGTTGGCTCATGTTTAACTTGTTGTCCACAAGGACTCCAAGATCTTTTTTACACGTACTGCTCTCGAGCCAGGCATCCTCCATTCTGTATCTTTGCATTTCTGATATCTTTTCATCAGTTATGCCTGTTGTGATCTATAATAAACCCCATCATATGATTTTATGACATCTGGAGATGCATTTGCTTGAAATCCCTGCAGGTTTTGCAGACATATACAGAATCATATTTTTATTTATTTATCGTGTCAGGGGCAACCAGACCATTGTATTACATTTCTAACAGAACAAAACAAACAAACAGATAAAAAAAAACACAAAGTTTGCAAACTTGGTAGTTGATTAAATGTCCTTTGACCAGTATCTGGCCACTTGGAGTGCCTCTGGTGTTGCTGCAAGAAGGTCCTCCATGGTGCATGTGGCAGGGCTCAGGTTGCATTGCAGCAGGTGGTCAGTGGTTTGCTCTTCTCCGCACTCGCATGTCGAGGATTCCACTTTGTGGCCCCATTTCTGGAGGTTGGCTCTGCATCTCGTGGTGCCAGAGCGCAGTCTGTTCAGCGCCTTCCAAGTCACCCAGTCTTCTGTGTGCCCAGGAGGGAGTCTCTCATTTGGTATCATTTGGGTTTGAGCCTGCCACTTTTGGACTCTCGCTTGCTGGGGTGTTCCAGCGAGTGTCTCTGTAGATCTTAGAAAACTATTTCTTGATTTAAGTCGTTGACGTGCTGGCTGATACCCAAACAAGGGATGAGCTGGAGATGTCTCTGCCTTGGTCCTTTCACTATTGGCTGCTACTTCCCGACGGATGTCAGGTGGTGCAATACCGGCTAAGCAGTGTAATTTCTCCAGTGGTGTAGCAGACACCCCGTGATAATGCGGCATGTCTCATTAAGAGCCACATCCACTGTTTTAGTGTGGTGAGATGTGTTCCACACTGGGCATGTGTACTCAGCAGCAGAGTAGCACAGCGCAAGGGCAGATGTCTTCACTGTGTCTGGTTGTGATCCCCAGGTTGTGCCAGTCAGCTTTCGTATGATGTTGTTTCTAGCACCCACTTTTTGCTTGATGTTCAGGCAGTGCTTCTTGTAGGTCAGAGCACGGTCCAGAGTGACTCCCAGGTATTTGGGTGCGCTGCAATTCTCCAGTGGGATTCCTTCCCAGGTAATCCTCAGAGCTCGGGATGCTTG